GGCAGGGGAGAGGGAAATGTAAAGATGTAGATGTATGTTCATCTATGGATCTATGATATCTTCGGTGGTTGGTTTTTGATGGTGAGATAGATAGAGTGGAGTGGAGTGGCTAGGTCAATAATGTGGTGGCGGGAAGGGGGTGGCAGTAAGTCAGCGAGTCACCATCGGTGTCTATACCGGTAGCAGAGATACGTTGTTTTTTTCCCACGTTACATTTTTTCATTTCCCCATTTCTTATTGGCGGGGTTCCATGTGCTAGGCAGGTACAAGCAAGTAAGCAAAGCAGCAGCCAGAATCCAAGCCTCAAGCCCCCAAGCCCCAAGCCAGAGAAAGAAAGCTAGCTAGCGAGCTAGATAGATAGACCAGGTAGGTATCCATCTGCAATCATTCCTTTCGTTCATTCGATCAGCACCTCCCTTCCCCACACGGCATTTGCAGAAAACCATTCAATCATTCAAGACTGAATGATCTGATCGCCCTCTCCCTTCCTTCACCAAGCACCAATCATCCCTCATTCAACCAGTCAAGGCCAAATAAAGACTGTCGCTCCTCCCTAACTCCAAGATAAAAAGAAGCATTCTCCGTCGCAAAACTCCTTTCGTAGCTGGTATCGTCCCCCATTGTGCTCATCTCGTTCGTGATTGCGTGGGGTGGGCGAAGGCACAGTTTGAAAAAAAGAGAAGACCTCGAACTTCCTCGAACTCCAAGCAGTTGAAGAAAGGGAAAGAAGAGAGACTCGACAGAGATCTGGAGCTGGGAATAGTAGAGTAGAGTAGAGAGCATAGAAAAGCAGAAACAGAACATGTGTAACGTTGCGTCGTCGGGTCCAGGAATCGTGACCGTATTCTTAGGTGAGAAGAGCCCGACTCCAGAGAATAAGGTCTGCGTGCCAGATTAGTAAGTGTACTGATTGGTAGTGTGTTTGAGGGTGAGAGGAGAGATTTTTCATATAAAGAAAACACTGTTTCCTCATGACCTTATGGTCGGTAGGAAAGATACATTGATAATCATGAACGCATAGATTATTCTGTACAGTAGATGGGGGAGATGGAGATGAGTGCTGCTTACCAAAGCTCAGTGCTGCATGATAACATCCGCGACATGCATCTCAACACCTTCTTCAGTAACAGCAACGCCTTCCATCACATCCAAAGGCTCGCTACCAAAGTCACCGAACTGCTCGCTTAGCTCCATGGGAGTCAGAGGGGCTGGAGTGGTATCCATGTCAAGCTCCATGGGGTTTAGAGCGGCTGGGGTGGTGTTCATGTCGAGCTCCATTGGTGTTGGTGATGCCACTGTGGCTGTAGTGGTAGCGAGGGAGTGACGACGGTTGGCATTAAGCCAGGACAAGCGGGCTGCACTTGGCTGACGGATATTGACCGGTGCGTTGACTTTGACGGCAAACGGACGGGCTGAAGCCGCGGCGCGACGAAGGGGTGTGGTGCTAGCGGGTGGGAGCATCAGGCCCTGCTGGCTGCTGACTGCTTTGGGAGTAGGTGGTCGAGCGGCGGACTCATGTTGTTTCTCTGTGGCGAAGATACCGAGGCCGATGCTGCCAGGACGGCGCTTGACGATGCCCCGGGGCTTGCTGTTGGGACTGGTTCTTGGTCTGGGAGGCAGAGTTCGGGGAGGGGTTTTTTGACCTTGGCGAGCTGGGTGCTGCAGAGAGGATTAGCAACGGTCCGCAGCAATTTTCCCAGGTGGTACTTGCAGAAGGGTTTGGTCTCAAGCCAAGGTTGCTGACATGCTTGACCAGTGAGACCGGACGCGCCTTGCGCAAGTGGAATCCGAAACCCGTGATGGCGGTAGGAGGGATATCGTTGCGGGCAATGCCGTTCAGGCTAAGGAAACTACGCTCTTGGAAGTTGGGGCGGCAAGTATGGCAGACTTTGAATTGACACTCGCCATCGCGGAGAGGCAACCATGGCTTCATATCAGGCTGCTCGACGCCGTCTTGAAGATCAGGGAAGAACTTTGGGTCGGCGTAGTTGGCGTGCGTAAGGACATCAAGGAGCTACGGGGGGTTTGTCAGTGATGCTCTGCTAGGGAATGAAGGGGGCCGAAAGCGACTTACATGGGTTCTCTGGCGGAGGATTTTGTGCAGTTGCTCGCCAGTGTACCCCTTGAGCTCCTTCTCACTGATCTCTGTCAAGACACTCGAAGGACGCATCCTCGCAGCGGCACTCCTGCTGCGCGGATTGTGAGCCATCCCCTTGAAGAGGTCGCACAATTCGTCGAGCTTGTCCTGTCACCATTGTCAACATTCATCCATCTTCACAGGATGCTCAGGAGTTAGGAGCCAGAGCGCGAGCGCAGTACGGACCTCGACGCCGGCCTCGATGTCTCTCTCCAAGAGCAACTCCCGATCCTGCGTGCATCTGTAAATCCAGCCCAAGCTGCCTCTGCGGACACAGACAGCGCAGCGAAACTCTTGGGTGAAGATGCGAGTACAGGTCAGGTGGGTGCAGGAGCCATTGCCGCCATTCTTGTGATGGAGGTGGTAGATTCCCGCGCCATCACCACCGGTAGTAGAGCGTACGGAAGAGCTTACGGTCGCGCGTCTCATGTGCAGAGGGTAGATAGCCGCTCCACTCGCGGCGAGCTCAAGAGGCGTCATGTTGACTGAGCTTGAGTTTGTGGAGCTTGAGTTTGTGGTTATGGTTGAGCTTGAGCTTGAGCTTGAGTTTGTGATTGAGATTGCGAATTGAGAGGGTGGAATCAAGGTGTTGAGAAGACGGGGTTGCGATAGAACGCGGTGTTGGGTTTGAATATGGGGTTGTGATGAGGGAACAGAGGAGAGGAAGTTGAAGAGGAGAAAATGAGATTTTACATGGGAGAAATCTTTTATAGTGTGGCGAGCTAAGCTAGTTCGCTTCCTCATGCCCTATAGGTTGAAGGTGAATGTGATGCTAACAAAAAAAAGAATTTGAAGGTGAAAGTGAAGCCCAAAAAAAGTGAATTATCTGGACGAGAGGCAGAACTGACCTGACCCAGCCCTTGAATGGCGTCGGGGATTTAAGCGAAGGTCCGGCGCCGCATCGATCCGACCAGAGTTTTATACTATAGGAATATGAGATTGGCTGCACACTGAAAAGGATGTTTTCGACTTTTGATGGTATCATATTTCGAGGGGCTCAAGGACTCCAAGGTCAAGTCCTCCGAGGCTTTGGTAAGGTTCTCGAACGACCGTGGATATTCATGACCTCGCTCGGCGGGAAGTCCCGTCCATCTGGAGAGGGAGAGACAGTGAGATGCTTCTATTGCATTCGACATCTGGCCGACCTTTGACGCTGGTAAGGCACTTTCTCTCACCTTCAAGCTGGAAGAGGGAAGCTGGAAGGTGCGGATCAGGACCGGGAATCGCTAAGTAAGATCGAAAATCTCGTCTTACTTCTGTTGGACGATCCTCATGTTGGCTAAGAAATAGTACGGGAGATTCAGCAGCGTAGGGGAAAAGTTGTGGCAATAATACATGACATACACTTTAACCTGCATCAGAGCGATATAGAAGAGTGTGTGGTGACTGGCATCCTCCCATTCTCTCGATAGCGTAGGCAGGATAAGATGATATACGAGTTCAAGCAGGCAATCAAAAGACAGATAGATATTGGACTCGCAAGCAATGCAGACAGTTGATAAGATTAAGAAGCATGCAAACCCGACAGAGCTACGACGTTTACACCTTTACGTAGGCTTAGCTCACCTCGTCTCAAACCTCTAGGTATGTTTTCATTCAGTTATAGCTTGCTGTTATCCATTCAAGTCTAGGCCGAACCATCCTGTGTTGTCGTCAGCGGTCAATCAATGCATGAAGATATATCTCTGCAGCACGAAAAGCAGCCACGTTAGACAGGGAGCACATCGTAAAGGTCGAGAAGCTATTACAAATAGCAAAAGCTATACGATGTCTTTGAAAGCCGAGATGAAGCCTAGAGTGGCCCAAATAGCTATACGTACATATATGCTCTTCCCTTCCTCTCGTGGCTCCGGCGGATACATAGACGTGACAAGCCAACCCGACCCGCCGTGCTGTTGAGTAACAACCACTTCAGAGCTCCGAGTGACCATACTCCTTCTCTCTCCCTCTCCCGTCCCGTTTCGATTGTTGCTGTTGCTGCTGTTGTTGCTGTTATTGTTACTCAGATCTCGACGCCACGTACATTCAAACGGAGCCTCGATATCCCTGTCTCCATAACGCTCCGTCCAAGCCCGCCGCCCGATATCTGCAATCAACCCAATTCAACTCCACCTCGCTGTCTACCACGGACATCGCAATTGCGCATCCCTCTATAGCTGCGCATCAATACCCGGCTCACCGACAAGAGCAATTGCATTCGAAGAACAGCATAGGTGTGTCCGATCCCCAATTCCCAACTCTTCCTCGTCCAAAAACTGGCCCCCTTCGAACCCGGCCCAGGCGCATCCCAGCTTGTGTCGCGCATACCTCGGCCCTGGGTTGTAAACATTGGGCAACGAAAGCTCAACAACGATAAAAAATCAAAAGCACAATTGCGCCATCTCTCGTCAGCTTTTGAGCATTGCGCTGACCAGTCTTCGCAGCAGCGCTGAAAACCCCCTCTCCCACCCCCCTCCCCCCCTCCCTTACCCTCCGAATCGCTTCACTATGTCGGTCAAGTTCGAGAAGGATACGATCAAGCAGACCAGCGGCGTTGCCGCGGCGCTGCCCGCGATGAAGTCCATCAGGCACGAACTCGCAGACGAGATCGGTACGGCGTTGACCGGAGGCAAGAGCAGTGTTGGACAGAAGGGCTACCTGGCGGTACGTGATTGACGATGGATCTCTCCGTTGATAAAAAAGAGAGATCGGTTTGGAAAAACGAAACGTTTGCTGACGACCCCCGGAAAACACCAGGCGTACCTGAAGCAGCTGCAGACGAATCCGCTCCGCACCAAGATGTTGACGTCTGGCACGCTCTCCGCCTTGCAGGAGCTCCTGGCCTCGTGGATCGCGAAGGATATCACCAAGGGCGGCGGCTACTTCACCATCCGCGTACCCAAGATGGCAGCATACGGAGCCTTCATCAGCGCGCCGCTGGGCCACTTCCTCATCAGTGTCCTCCAGAAGGTCTTTGCAGGCCGCACGAGCTTGAAAGCCAAGGTCCTCCAGATCCTGTTCAGCAATTTGATTGTACGTGCTATCTATCATAACTACCCCCTTTCCCCCCCAAAACCATCCACGACAGTCACTAAACAGAAGAACAACCCTCCAGATCGCACCCATCCAGAACAGCGTCTACCTGATCTCCATGGCGCTCATCGCCGGGGCCAAGACCTTCCACCAAGTGCTCGCCACCTGGAAAGCCGGCTTCTTCCCCGTCATGAAGGTCAGCTGGGTCACGTCGCCCCTGGCCCTGGCCTTCGCCCAGAAGTTCCTCCCCGAGCACACCTGGGTGCCCTTCTTCAACATCCTGGCCTTCTTCATCGGCACCTACGTCAACTCGGTCACCAAGAAGAAGCGCCTCGCTGCCCTCCGCAAGAGGCACTTTGACGAGAACCGGAGAACCGACGAGGGCTACGGCGGCCCAAAGTACTAGATACCTAGAGTGTGGAAAGAAAGAGCGGCCTAACACGGATGGAATGGATGGATGGATAATCGGGGGAGGGGGGATTTTTCTTTGTTTTTATTTTATGGCCTTGCAGCAACTTTTCCTGCAAACTTTTTCCCCTCGTATGTATTCCGACCCAGGCGTTCTAGGTTACGCAGATATAGGGACGGGCAACATCGATCACCAAAAAATGACTTGCTCCTTTTTTTTTTCCTCCTTTTTTTTCTTTTTCTTTTTTTTTCTTTTCTTTTCTTTTCTGTTCTTCATCTCCCCCTTCCCGAGTCGAGAATGTAGTTTCGGTTGGATACGGTACCTACCTACGGTAGTCCATGCGCCGCGCCGCCTCTCTGCCTTAGTCCACATCTCCAACGGCTAACGGCTGCTAACTGAACTGGAACTGGCACGTTGCGTTGCGTTGCACAGACGTTTGATGCTTTGATGCTTTGATGCTTTGATGCTTTGATGCTCCGGCTCCCCGCTGCGGTGTGTGCGATGCGCGCATCTGAATAGGTCACGTCACGTCAAGATAAATAACGAAAGTGAACGGAGAGAGGATGTTATTGTTATTATTGTTATTGGTCTGTAAGTACCGGTACCGGTACACACAGCACGGGAGGTGAACACCACACCACACCACACCACACCCTCCCTCGTCCTCGTCTTGGTGGGGTTTCCAATTTCCGAAATTCATATGTTTTTATTTTTTCTTTTTCTTTTCTCCTTTTTTTTTTTCTTTTCTCTTTTCTTTTTCTTTTCTTTCCTTACAGGAAGGACATGTCCTACTTGGACAGCTACGTACGGTACCTACTTAGCTCCATGTCGCACTCTTACTACAGTAACAACTGCTGCGAGCAATGGTGCCCCACGAGCTGGGACTTCTCCGCCATGACGCCGTTCCTGGTCTCGTCTCTGGATGATGGTCGTTTTTTCTTTTTTCTTTCTTCTTTTTCTTTTTTTTTTCTTCTTTTTCTTCTTTTTTTTTTCTTTCTTCTCGTTTCACTCGCTGATATAGAGTATAGGTTTGTTTGCCTTTGAGCCCAGTCTTTCCCCAGTCTCGCACTCCAAAAGATCGTCACTGCTCCGTCACTCGGCTTACCACGTTCATTCGCACTCTCCTCTCTGCATGCAGTTGCTCGCACGACCCGAGGTATACTTGACTCTCTCCTACTATCTTCACTTTGGGGATGGCATGGTTCCCTCGACCGTAACGGCCGTCGCGACTGCGTCCGTCCACCTAGCCAAGCTGGCTTTCATTTTCTATCTTCCTGGGCTTCTCCCCTCTTGCGGGCATGGCGGACCTCTCGCCTACCATGCGCCTCGTCCGGCCCCGGGTAGGGTGGCACAGAAACGATCCAGAAGGGTTCGTGACTTGGTCTGGACGAGTTCGCCGAGGACCGGTATGCATCCAGCCATGAGCGCTCCGCAGGCTAAGCGAGCACCAGAACACTTTCTCTTAGCGAGATGCCAACAGGCGAGTATCAGGAACGTCGATGGGTACATCACTTCCAAGGCCTTCCTACCTCTTGCCTCTAGCCAAGCTCCCCACTCTTCCTCCACACCTCCCTCATCCCCGTAACACCAGCAATGCTCCCTAAAACACCCACCCAGAACTCACTCAGCAATCCATTCTCCAGGCCCCAATGCAGCGTCAGCGGCGCGAACGCCGCATTCATCACTACCCCTCTCCACCACTTCTCCCTCCAGGCCCTCTCCTCAGTCGCAGCCTCCTCTTTCCCATCCCCCTCCCCTTTCCCCTTCACTCTCTCCCTCTCCCAAACAAGCCTCTCCCTCCCCTCTTTCAAAACCTCCAAGCCGACATGCGTCGCCCAGAACCGCGAACTCCACAGCCACGCCCTCTCCTGCCTCTTCCCATCCCATCCCCCCACACCCTTCGAGCTCAGATACGCCATGTTCTCCAGAGACTGGGACGCCACGTTGACAGCCACCTGCACAGCGACGATGGCCCGGACGATGCCGTCGCCATCGTCTTCGCAGCAGACTTGCTTCCCCCAGTTGTAGATCTGTAGCAGGCCCCCGAGACGGGCGAAGATCCGAACGTCGGAGAGCAGGTTTGAGAAGGACTTGAGGCGCTGGGAGACGGTGGGGAGCTGGTGTGGGGGGGCGGAGGCGGGGGCGGTGGTTGGGGGGAGGGCGAGGGCCTTTTCGATGAAGGATCGGGCGGAGGCGCCAATGCTGTTGTGGATGCGTGGGAGGGAGATGGTGGAGGCGAGGAGGCTGGTGTACTAGTAGATAGGGATAACGAGAAGTCAGTAGCTATATCTCCTCGAGATTGGATTTTCTTGGACAGCAGTGAAGGGTGGGTGGAAATGGTTTCCCGCGCTGTCTGTATGGTCTTACGCAGAGGGCTTGGAGGAGCGTGTCGGTCTGGGAGGGCGACTGGAGGATTCGAGCGAGGCGGTCGAGGACGCGGTCGGTACTTTTCAGATATAGAGGCAGCCAGGAGCGCAGGGTCGCCAGGGAGGGGGCTTCTCTTGGAATCGGAATCGGTACCGGTACCGATATGGGGATTGCTTTTTCAGGGAGGGTGTCAGCAGCAGGAATGCCGCTGATTTCCGACATCCTTAGAGATTACGGGGATGATCTCGAGGGAGAGAGTCGCTATGAAATTCGATGTTTGCAGGTTTGAATATTGTATGATTGAGGGAGGAAAGAGAAGGAGGAGGAGGAGGAAGAGGAGTGGGCTAGGATCCAGGCATGTGATAGGTACCGGTATGATATGTTGACTTTGACTTTGGCCTGCCTGCCAGGCGACATGATCAGATTAGATGGAATCCGATAAGCAGAGTGCGATGCCGAGGCTCTTACGTACGGGTACCTAGTACATGCCTGGGATTTTCGCTCGCTACTTACCTAGGTATGTGTCTGATACAGTACAGTACAGTACAGTAATACCGGTAAAAGCCTGCCGCCTTGCCTCCCTCATACAACCGTGGTGTGGAAACCAACGAACAGGCCGGTCTGTACCGTATCCATATACATACCTATACCTACATACTCATATCCGCAGAACCCGGAGCTGAAGAAAGATCAACTGCACGCTTGATATCTACCGTATCTACCGTATCTATCTACCTTCCCTTCTTTCTCTTCCGTTTCATCTCTTATCATCATCTCCCATCATCATCTCCTGATAATTACATAATACCCCACACCTCCTCCCCCCTCACCC